CTGTGGCAGGGAAAGCGTTTTACACTATTGAAGATGGATGACACAGCTCAAAGGAAGCACATACATCGGCATCTGCAATGCAACCGTTGAGCAAAAATTGGAACGTTCAAGTCTTATAAAAGGAAGACTTACAATAAACGGGCGCCGGAATGGAGACGGACAACGTAGATCGCGCGTAGACGTGACACAAATCGAATGAGAGCCGTTGCAACCTGACGAGAAGTCAATATCTAAGCTAGTGAAAGGGATGATTAGATGAAACAATCATACTCGTCTTTCGTCATGTTGTTATCATCGTGAAGAACAACATAGCGGCTGGACCGGGAAGTACCAGCCAAACCTTTTTGACTTTGAATGAAGAAATCCTCGTAAACAGGATGGACAATTCCATTATCCACAACAAGGCCAGCTTTGCAATTTCCCGTTTTATCACCGTAGTCGCTCCTCGAGGGGAAGAAGCGGACATGGTGCCTCTTGGTGACGATAATGAACGTAACTTTCGCATCCGAACGAAGCTTGGCCAACACCGCTGCAAGAGATGTGAGTCAGCTTCGTCAACGTCTCTTGATAGAACTACTTACTTTTCACTGCCTTCAACTCGTGATTTATCACCGCCTCGTATTCCCCTTCAGAAACTCCGTCTCTGTAAATAATCACTCGCCAAGGGAGATACTTCATCTTCGGATCGGGATTCGAAATGGTCGACATTGCAGACTGGTGGAAACGCTGAAGGGCATACTACGCGTGTTGCCCAGTTAGCAAGCATTGTGGTGCACGATAATGACGCAAGACTCGTACTTCGAATTGACCACCGAAACCCTCGATCACTTCCTGACGAGTTGCTTGGATATCGCTGACCGCGAAGTAGTCGGAGCAGGACCCAAAATTGTGGCTGAAAACCATCGAGCAGACGGACGGCGACTTGGATCCAGGGGCGGCATGCGAAACATCCGCACCAATAATCATCGTCGGACGCTCTTGAAACCACCTGTTGTTAACATTACAGTTCAATCCGCCCATTTTTGCATTGATCTTCAGGCTAAGATTGTTGCAGTACTGAGATAATACGTTTTGAGTTTAAAAATAAGAACACAAAAAGGCAGCTCCACATACCTGATTGACGGCATTATCATTCCTGAATTTGAAAACCTTGCTACTAACGATGATCTTGGAAACGGTCAGAAAAGAGCGCCGGCTTGGACAACTGATTTACCTGAGTCGGAACACCACGAAGTATGTCGCCCCATCGTTTGAACTGGTCTCGAATTTCGTTATGTGGCATCCTCAGCAAGGCAACAACGAGAGTTTCCTCTGGTGCAATATTCACGTCTTCGCCTCGTCCCTGCCTCTGGTACTGCGTCATGGCGTGGTTTACCACTTGAGTGTGGAAACTGTCGAGTTCCTGTATGACATATTGAGTGACTATTCATGAAATAGAAGTCAGAGGATTACCGAGGAAATATTGCCCTGGATGGATATTTGGTCCGAGTAGTAGGGATCGGTGTCCACTCCTAAATTTTGTACTCAGTGTAGTGCAATGCCAGGAAGTAATAACGAGGCCTACTCATTCCTATTGGAAGTTAGTGAGTCGGAGGCTAGCCACTACGAATACGCGAAACATACCTAATCTCCGAAGGACCTCCATAAGGGGTACAACTAACGACCTCCGGACAGCTTGAGACCGTCCCGCGTCCTTCCGGGGACTTTGATTTTCGAAATCAACGAAACCCCATGCCTTGATCCTCCCTGGTCGGAAGAGCTTCTTGTTCAGCATGTTCCACGAGCCTCCCGAAGGCGTCTATCCAAATCCAATACTTGCTGATGATGGGATGTACGCAAGGCACGAACGAAAACTCACGACATTGTCCTCTCCCAAATAAATCATCGGCGGGTCGAGTACTCGCCCGCGAATTTCCTGCAACTGAGAATCCACTGTCATCCCAGTCCTCGCTACGTAATCCTGATCGTATCCCATGAACTAATAGGAAACAGGTTAGCAGTGCTTATGGGATGTGCCATTCCATATTACCTTGTGGCCTTCATGAATAGATCTTTCCCGGTCGATTGGTGACAGCTTGGTGAACTTAATCATGTTGGCCGTTGCGTCGGAAGACAGTTTGGACTTGTAGAGCTGGCCAGGCAGGACATCATACAACTCGAGAGGTACAATGACATCTCCATGTTGAGACCTTAATCTCACACAAGCAATGGTTGGATAATCAAGTGTTTTTCCCAGCCCTTGGAAATATTGCTGGTTCCACCAATCAGTACGAAAAGACGCTTAATGACGGGGATAGATATCAATACCTTAACAGAGAGCTCATCTCCACGCTCGTTCCGGAACAGATATCGATCTGCGCTCGTTTGTTCAATTTTCTCGATAACGCTTTCCTTCCTCATCCCACCCGCAGTGAGCTGGCGGTGCCCGGGATGGTTTCCGTTTCTAACCAGACGTTTGCCTTTGAGTAGTTTATTTAATTGCTTTAGTTTTATGTCAGAAAGATGCATTGGATCGAGGATCGATCGGACGTTGACATGGTTTTTTGAGTGTTCGTCGACTAAGAAGTCAACGCATACGTTAAGTAAGGAGCCTGCTTTAATCCTGGACGAAAAACTTCCATGAGCTCAATTTGGAGAAAGTTGCAATGACAAGTACGTACATAACAGCATTTGCGGTATCGATGTTAATGACCATTTTTCCGATTGCTGGACGAACACTCCTGTTGGTGACGGTAAGGTAATTAGAAAGTATCTAGTTGGTTTAAACTGGTGTGGGACGCACTGGTACCATCCCCGCAAGAGTTCCAGGCCACCCCCAAGGGATTTGGTGTCTTTATGTATTTGGAAAAAAGATCTTCGAGTTGCCAGAACATCTTTTTGGCTGGGAACCACACGGACAAGCGTGTTGACCGCGGTCACGGCGATGTCAGACTGAGGCCCTTGGGATCCCCGAACCAAGTCTTTAAGAACTCTATTGGGGGGTCAACGGGATGGGGGGGGTAACGGAAGGAACGCGGAACCCACGAGGTATCGATCATCCCTACTCGCTTAAGGCTCACCTTGTACTTTCGATCGCTTCCGGGATTCATACTAAACTCAAACTGATTTTGGGTGCCCCTCAATGAGTATACGGATGGCAAGGACGCGACTGTACGCACTGTTCTTTCACTCCCGACCCGCGAGTCATACATGAATAAATTTCGGCGCCCGTCATAAGCGCCGCGAGGGTTAAACAAGTCTGGAGCATGCCTAAGCTGCAGGTGATCTATGAATTTATGAGCGGCTTTCACAGGGGGGTAGGGATCTTCTTGTTCCTCGGGATTTGACGCCGTATTCTTCTTCGAAGCATTGCGACGAAGGGGCAGATCGAACGCTATTGACGGGACCCATGAGTGGGCGAGTATCAATGATCGATGTCAAGTGTGGTATCAATGTAGAAGGGATCAGCGATGATCGGGGGAATCCACTCACTGACTATGGGTTTGGAAAAGTAAGCACACCAAGGAGTGTAGAGAAAATCCGCAACTTCATCGACAACGTACCGTCATAATGCGTGAACTGCACTCCAGGAACCTGAGCTTGGAACATGTTACTCTTAACAGAGACGCGATGTCCCTGCGATCCTTCATTTACGGCTCCTCCAGGGGTTCGTCGATGCAGCTGTAGTGCCGCACCCCCCGCTGGATGTGGGATCGGTGCGCCAGAATGTGACATCAAGCTCTAACTCGGGAGGGAGAACGAGGAAAGAAGGGTGGCCCTTGTTAACGAATTGAGATTCTTATGTACAAGTACATTCAACAGCCGAAGTCCCAGAGCAGAAATCGACAGGTGAAAGAGGAAGATTCTGGTGGGAAAAAGCGGCGAATTAGATCGTAGAAACGAATATCCCTCAATTATCCTTGGCTCCAAGATAGGCAAAGACCAGAAAAAAACAGCCCAACGTGGCCAGAAACAAGCGCGTGGCTAGGGTCTGACCCCACAGTCCGTGCGCATTGTGCAAATGCCAGCAATGCAGCGCCGCGTGCCGTAACATGCGGTCGCGGGATTTTTCACTGCAGAGCTTCTTGGACGACAGGGGCACAAGTAGATGAATGAACATATATTGCGCGACGGGTCTAGCAAAACAGGTACAAAAATGATCAAAGAAATAACTCAGACTCGAACCCAGCCGTTTCCGCTTCGTGGACCGATGAGCCAAGAACGGGAAGATATGATATACAAGTCACAGAGTCAAATTTAAGCAGTTCGTACAAACACTGGTTCAACAACCTATCAGTGGGAGCAGCCTATGAGCACGCTTTTCTGATTTGCAATAATTTGCCCCAATATTAGGAATAATCATACACCCGCTTCAACGCACATCATAGCGCTTGAACAGAAGTCTGAGCCTGCGCCTGCGCCAGCGCAAGCTGGGCCTCAAGTGCCTGCACTTTGGCCTCATAAACTCGACGTTGAGCTTCAATCACTTCCTGTAAAGCCTCCTGGGGGATTGGAACAACCGGAGGCGGTTGAGGGGCGGAAGAGAAGAAGCTAGAGTCGATAAAGGTTGATTCATGTAGGGAACCTATAAAAGGGACCGAGGAAGGGGAGGCTGCTTCGGAGGAAGATGACGTCCATGAGACAGACGGTGGCCGAGGCGATGCTTCATAGGCGGGAATGGCGAGATAGTTCTGGCTGACCGGTAACTGGGAAGGATCTGTAGCTGTAGGAGCATAGGATTGGACGAGGGCGGATTGATCAGGGGAAAAGGTAGCCGCGACTTGCGGTGTCGGCTGAGGATATCCATAGGCTTCTGGAGGCTGAACAACAGGGATCCCCATACTTGCCAGGTAGGCATTGACTTGCGAAGCAGGTATCAGATTGTCCGCGACAGCAGTGGTCTGTGGGAACAAGGAAAGTTGAGCGGGAGCAGACACCATGCGATTCCATTCGTTCTCGAGAGCGGATATATTGGGAGCAGAGGCGGAGCGTTGTTCGACGAGTAGGGATGGAGACGGAGATGGGGACAACGAAGCCAGGGAGGGGGAGGAAATGGATGCAACAGACGATGACTTGCGAACAGGAGCGAGGTTGGGGCGACGACGCTTGTGTGTTGTCGGAAGCCGGGGTTCAGGCATCGAAGCCTCGCCGACTTCGTCAGCGGCCTTACGTTTCTTGTTAATCCTCAGACATGCGCTGTCAAGTGGGATAGCTTTGGAGGGGTGGGATGGTATATATGTGTTCTGAATTGTAATCTTCTTCGCCGAGGGAATGTTGTGCCCGATGCTCTCTGAACCAGAGCGATTAACAACTAATCTAGCGATGTACTGATGGACTTACGAAGAGGTCCCTTGCGGCGGAGGCGCCTGACAGTACCATCCTCTTTCACAACGAATCGAATGTTCGGATCTCGCGAAATTAGCACCTTGATTTGAGCCAATGCACCACGCCTCTTTCTGGGACGCTCGTCCTCATCGGGAGGGGTATCTTCTGAGTTACGCTTACGCTTGCCGACAAGTGGTACGGCCCGTTCTGCAACCTTGACGCCTTCTCCATGCTTGGCAGCAAATTTGGCGGCCAACGCTCGCTTTGCTTCCATGCGCACACGGCGGATTTGTTTTCGACGAGCACGATAGGCGGCCAGCTCTTCGTCGGACATAGGCGGTTGACTGACCATCTCCATAAATTCTTCGGAGACGGTGGGAGCTGTAATCTTCTCAAAGTATGCACGTACGTTAGATACGGCTCTGCGTGCTTCATCCGGGACATCGACATCTGGGGTAGATGGATCGGGAGAAATGACAGTTTGGACTAGCCTTTGCATCGTTCCTTTGTCATTGTTGGCAAAGTCTTTCATGACAGACATCCAGCTTGAGCGACGTCGGTGATTGGTGAACCACTGACTGACAGAAGCGACTTCACAACCAATTTTTGCGGCCATCTGTTTCTTGTCAGCAGCAGTAGGGTAAGGGGCGCCAAGATGTGAGAGAAAGTAGTCACGACAAGGTCGGTATTTTGTCATCTCAGCAGTGACGCTGTCGATATGATGTTGCTTAACGCGCTTGGAAGGTGCCGTGGGGGTTCGCGCAGAGGTTTGTAGACGGGCTCCCAATATCGACTTCCACTGATTGACAATTTGAGACTCAAGCCGCGCCGTTGCATTGCAGCCTTCCATAAACCGCATGGCAGTGGCTCTAATGCTCGCAACCACGGAACGGATGAGATCCACCGTCTCTAAACTGAGGAGGTTGCTGGCCATTGCGGCTTCTGCGCGTTGTGTGATGCTGCGGAACTCTGTTTGGAATGTGCCCCTTCTGTCATCCTCCGCCACAGCATTGAGGAACCTAAGCTCAGCATCCATGAAAGCCGACCGCAGCTCGGCGTCCAAGGCGACATCGATTAGAGACATGATGGTAGTTTCGACGAGTAAGATGTGTGAAGTCAAGCTTTGGGCACAAAAGATGGTGATTATGTAACCAAATTGGAACTCCGACCTTTTGTTCCTCAACTCCGACAAACAATAACAATATTGTGAAGTTGCACTTTTGTCTTTCCTCATCCTCTTTGCGTTCTGCCTTTTACTTAGGCGCCGGGTAGACTTGTCGGACTTGCGCACATGTCTTTCCTCGCGAACCGCCAAGAGTCTTTGCTAGCTGTTAACACTGCTATCGATGGGTTCCTCACCACTGTGTTTGGAGATGACTTTCAGTCTCGATTATCTTCTAAAGAAACTGGTAGCCATTCGGAGAATGTCTCGATCACACCTATCGCTGTTGATATTTCTGGGGAGCTTCTCGCACTGGACTTGAAGCCTGCTCAAGTTCAAGCCTTGCTCATGGAGTTCAATCGCTCTTTGGCCCTTCTCACAAAGCACTGGGAGAACGTGCAGACGCCTCGTCCGAGCACACTGGATTTACAGCATATGTATAGTCAAACAATTCAGGGCCTATATGAAGCAGAAGTCCAAGATCTTCAGCTTGATTTTCTTTCCCAGATCAAGGATCGTATTGAGGGGCGACATTGCGAAGACTTGGGGTCCAATCACCCCGAAGAAATCATCAGTCATCCTTGCGACCCCCCAGAGAGTGCTTGCTCGCAGTCTGATTCAAGTTGTTTGGATGAGGGTGAGTCGGAACCCGAGGAATCTTCGGCTGAGCTTGAAGTGAGTGCCAATACGCAGCCTCACGCGTGACATTTCACTGTGTATCTTGTAGCGATATTATATGATTCTGGAGCGCCTCTTCGCTTCTGGGATCCAGCATCCTACGCGTGAGCTCAAGGCTGTGATGAGCGCTGAATGGGGTGTGTCCCAACGATCGGTCGCCGTTTGGGTAAGATAGTGGTTAGCCTATCCTACTTGTCTGTCTAATACTCCGCACAGTTCCAAAACCGTCGCGACCGCAAGGATGACGATATAATTGCTGAAATCGATTTCACGACCCGACTAAATTTAGGAATTGAGGCCGAGGATGAGTGGAGCGATGAAGGAGAGGTGCCTTGGGATACTCTAGAGGATTTCGATGATGATGACGTCCCCGATCTTCCTCTTATCGAATCGGGGGCCGCCCCCTACCGCGTTCCTTCACTCTCACATTCAGTTGCGACCGAGTCGGAATCGAGTTCATCACGTTTACCATCTCCGGGTTACAAGATTGAATTCCCATCTCCCCGCTCAAAATCTCCCGAAATCCGTCCAACCACTCCCGAGGCCTTGTCGCAAACCTCACTATGTTCCATATCAGCGTCCCCTTTCACTTTCGCCGCGCCTGCTCAGCAGGCCCAGAATTCATTCTTATATGTGGCTCGTGAATGCCCTCCTTTGTTCCATACGGACTCGGGCATGCCATCACAGACGGTGAACATTGATCGAAACTGGCTTCGAAGTACTTCGCAGCACCATCCAAGCCAGCCTCAGATTGGCCAACCACGCCGAACTTTGGGGCCTTCCTCAGCCCCCCGCATCTCTGTTGCTGCCCAACCATCAACACCACCCTTCACTCCACCCCTTCGATTCACTTCTCTACACTCTCCACCAGCGTTCCCTTCGTTATCTTCAGAAGTCCGATCGACCTCCCGCCCTTCCTTCTCCACATCTTCCCGTGCCTCTACACCAGCTCTTTCGACGACTTCCACAAGCGAGGCATCTGTCCCGGTTGCCACTCCGACAACTCATGCGTTCGTAAGCTCATTTAGTCCCCCAGTCCAGAGCTGCTCTCCATCTCGCTTTTTCACTGACGTTGAGATTGACGAAGAGACTGGGGATCCGACGATTCCTGTGTTCGATTTCGATTTCGGCCCTCCCCACCCTATTCAGTCCTACGGCACGTATCGAGACATTCATCTGAAATTTGAAACTTCTGGCTTTGAATCAATCGGAGCGGAGGCCAAACGCAATACATCTGTCGCTGTCGAGGGTCAGACTTGTAGACCCATTGAGGTCACGGAGGGAGGACCGTCGAAGGCGTTGCTGGCTCCTGAATGTGATACAAATTCGGTGTCAGACGCGGAGAATAATGAATCCGAAGTTGGCCGTATTATATTTTTCCCGTCAGCCCAAGGTTTGTCGGAGGAAGAGGGAGGTTCAGTTATCTTGAAACATCCCAATCTGAACAGGCCTCCTGCCTCGTTCGAAGATGCCGTTCAATTGCACTTCTTGGCAACAGCAGCGGCCCTTGTAGACGATCGCGAAGTGCGAAGAGATGCCGAGGTTATTGATATTGTTGCAGAAGCGTTGTCAGACTCAAACTCTAAGACAAGCCCTGTTTTGGTCGCGAATGAGCCAGTGATGGATGCTTTGTTGCCGATGCCAAAAACCGCCAAAGTGGAAGATTCCAGCGCTGCGACGGTGGCCGTTCCGGAGCATATCGCTCTCCCCCCGAGCCCATGCATACCGTCTTCATATCCTTCATGCGCTATCGTGAGACCCGAGAGTGACTCAGCGAATTTCATTGGCTCCTCTTCAACCCTAGTCTCTTCGCGGACTTTAGGAGGAGACACCGAATCACTATCTGCGGAGAGCCCAACCACCCCACCCCATAGATTCGATACTTGTCACTCTAATGATCCAGCGGATATCCCGCTACCTCCTTCGCCTTCGCCGCTCACACCGGCTCTCACTGCACCCGACAGCTTTGTCGGCAGTTCCGGATCTCCCCCGTGTTCTTCAGTAGACTTCACCTCAGATGCGAGCAGTCCCTCTTGTCCCCCTTCCCCCCACGAGATTGGTGATCCGCTTCCTGAAGTTGCCTCGGCAAAGTCGGTTATAGTTTTCCCCTCCACTAGCGACTCACTAAGCTCCAAATTTGAGATCTCGTATCCTCTTTCCCTTGAAGAGCCGCCTTTGCTTGACCTGTCTTGGGGATCCGATCTTGACTCATGCCTTAACAGGGCACGCGAAGTCTCCCCATTTGAGGAATTTATGCCCGCATCTCTTATTTTTCAACCACCGCCCCCCAAGCATGACCCGGAAGTCCAATGTCTATTGGATTCCGTCCTCAAGAATTGGACCAACGTTGGTCTGGGGCCTCTCTTGATTTCACAACCTCATTTTCAGTCCTCATAATCTGGTGGATTTTAATCCTCAATGGCACCCATTGCCCTTGCATGTCATCATTTTGCTTTACATCTCATTCTCCTGGCTGGCTGTAGTCATGTACCACCTCCACATTTACTTTGCTTTTACCTCATATTTCGGCCATTCCTTATTTCGTTATTTTCAGCCCGTGCCTGCTGTGTTTACATTAACACCCCTAATTGATTTAGAAAGTCATGGTTGGGATTTCATTATTTTCCGCTGGACGGCACAGAGGGGGCAAATTGCGTCCTGGCCTGATCAAACAATGCTGACTTAGCCACCAAGTCTGCGACGAAGGGGTGTGATGGAAGGACAGAAATTAAATGCCTTGGAAGACATCAGACGAGCCTAAAGGTGTAACATCTGAACACTCACTCGAAGCTTTCATCTGCGTCTTTTTGTTTTGTGCTTAGCCCTTTGGTCACTGCTAGCCCAGCAAGCGCGTCACTATTCTTTGCATCTATCAGCAATGATTCGTTAAACATGCTCCCTGCCTCGGCGTAATGTCCGCGCAACAAATAGGCTATGCCCTTGGCAGCCAGAATATTTGCATTCGACGATGACCCAGGTGCAGCGGCTTGCTCGTCGTAGATATGGTATGCCGCATTCAAAGTGAGTGGTGGTGTGCCGCCAGAAGCGAGCCCAATGGAAGCCTCAATGATTTGGAGCAGTAAGGAGTCGGCGTCGTGGGACTTGGCGTACAGGTACTCCTTTCGCGCCAGATCGATGCGGTTCATTGAAAGATATATCTGAATCGTGAGATATGAACTAGAGAGAAGTGAGTTTCAACACAGTAAAACCAAGGCAGCTACGCGCCATTCCATATCCTGGCCACCAGCTCCAGCACCAAGGGTGGTTAAAGCCTCTTCCACTTCGCCTTCTTGCAAAAAGGCGGTGGCAGCGGAAACACGTACTACGCTCGTCCCCGCCCCCTGGACACCTTCATCTTCGCTTTCGATTTCAATTGTTAGGTCCCGTAACTCGTCGAGTATCGGTTCTACTTCCCCTCCGGATGCTTTGGTCTTGACGTATGTCGCCAGTGCTCTCACAGCCCGAACGGCGGGCAGAGTATCGGCAGAGACAAGCAGTAATGCTTCGTCAGACTGGTTAAGTGCAATTAAGGAGCGGGCGGAATACAGCAACGAAGGAAGATATTCAGGGGAGTCTTTTTGTGGAGGAGGGTTCCTCGCGACACTCTGATATGCACCTTTTGATACAAGTCAACTGTTAAAAAGGATCGTTCCTCCTTGGACACCCAAAAACCGCTCACGCAAATAGAATTGATTTTTGAGGTAAAATAAGGAGTCAGAGTCTGCCATAATCCGAGAGTGTAGCCGCCGTTAGGACTAGAGTAGCAGGGGGATATCAGTGAAACAGAGTGAAACGAGATAGTTATTTGTTGTCGCTTATTGTTGTCGAAGCCGACTTTTGATCGCCAGAACCCTGACTCACAGGGGTTCCATGTGCAATGCGAGGTAGTTCGTGCTGGTGTTAGCGATGCGTTGGGAATTACGTGTCAGGATCACACGTCACGGATCTCTTGGGTTTGCCGTGCCTTTAGCCTCCAAATCTCATTCAAGAGTCGCCATAATCCTGGCCCGCAGATGTTTATGCCAGCACCTTCCATAGGCGTACCTTTGTTGCGAGAGATTATTGAGTGTCCCCCCCTCTCTCGACACGCGGTAAACTTATTCCGTATGTTCTCCGCAATGACTCAGCAAAATTCAAACTGTCTTTGTCTCGCGCTCTTCATGCGATCTTTGCCTACGCTTGCACTCAAATAGCGCGCAGAGGTTCTAAACCTATTTTTTTTCCTGACGCACCTTATGTTGTGTGTGGACACCGCAAGGCGGCAACCTACTCCCTGTCATTAGTCGATCACTCTCTTACCTTCTCCCCTCTTCTCAGGGATTGATCGATCTCGTTCGGCCAGTGGTGCAATGTATTTAAGCCTTTGGCATTTCTGTCTCAGGGGCTAGTGTGATCACCTAGTGTTCTGTTCATTGCGAGCTCCACAATGTCTCGCCTAATGGTAAAGTTGTTGCCATATGCGACCGCGCCACAGCTGAGCTACCGACAACCAATTCGGTGCAGTGGTGGTGAGTTCAGCTTGTGTATCTCTAATGGGCTATGCATCTGAGTACATCAATTGATCGACCGAACTTGATTGTCTTCTCCCTCTTGGGAGTCGAAAAAGGCGGTTCCCGTCGTGTCCAGCGAGTTTTTTCTTCGCAGGCCTTCCATGAATTTCCGGCGTCCGAAGCTCTCTATTCCTCGATCCTTGTGGGAATGTAAGCAATTCGTTGCATTCAGACATCGCTGAAACCTGCAGTTGCGATGTAACCAATGCCTCACGATATCTCTCTGGCGGTAAAGGAGCTAAAGACGCTCACTGTTGTCGTTTTCCCGCGACTTTGCTCACTCCGAGCTATGCAGCACACTCTCTTACAATCAGAAATGACCATACCGCCACTTTTCTTGTCTCCTTCCGCAAGGTGCTACCTCCTTTGTCACCAGTGCGATTCGTACAACAGTGGAATGGTTTGTTCTGTCGTGCATGGCTCCCTTTGGTCCTGGACAAGTCATTCTCGATGCCTTGCATTGAATCTCTTGCAAACCGCAGGGAGGACAAATAATAACGAGATCTATACACATTCCGCTTCACTGGAATGCTTATGACGTTTTTCTCCTGCTTCATGACCTTTACGCCCATGAAAAACACCCACTTATTGCGATGGATGATAAGCAGTCAGATTGCTCAACAGAATCTCCCTCGACGCGATAAACGCGTGATTTTTTTCATTGTTCCCTTCCCTTTCGTTCGCGGTATTTCCCTTCAACTCCGATTTAACCTCCGCCCGCTGATTTACGAGATACTGGAACTTTCCGCTGCATGTCCCATGTCCCATTTCCTTTTACGAGCGATGTGAACAGGCAGGTTCTTCATCCAATGACCTGTAGCTACGATGCCAGCGCAAGCTGAGACTGTCATATTTTGTGTATATAGTTCTATTGTTAAATTTTCGTCTGTTCGTCAATTTAGGCGCAGAAGTTCACGAACCGGAAGCAACCGAGTCGAGCTGTCGTTCCTCCAGTTGCTCACATTCCGTCCGCCAGCAGGCGTCGCAGTTACACAGGCTCAACTTCCCACAAATTCACATGGACCAGACTACGAATGGACAAGCATCTTCATCATCAGCACCTATTGCTCAGGCTGCAAGCCCTCCGCGTCCATCGGAACGTTGGGAGACAGCATTCGTCTACGCGTTTATTTGCAGATTCACTTCTGTCAAGAAGAAAGTAGAAGGATTTGAGACCATCATGGAGTACGTAGCACTATAGGGTGACTCTACTGCTGATTTGTTGATTTGTGCCGATTGTGGATCGGGTTGGACGTCCTCTATAGTTTTGAACAAGCGCTAATGTTCAGCGGCCGTGACCCTATTATCGAAGCCATACTGGTAGACTTCATAACAAATCTCAAGCCGAATTTAAGGTCGCCAAAGTGTGTTGATACCTTGCTGAGACGAACCTAATACTCAAATCGTTGTAATCGTTACGACACCCAGAGCGAAGTTGGATAAATTAGTGGCGTCCGTGGTGGAGGAATTTTGCCGTAGCCCTACAGAGCGAAGCATCTGGTGGGACTATTCTAGGGGTCGGAATGTGGATCCTTTGGCGGGAACCGAAGGGTTCTTCTCTCTAACTTGGGACACTAGAGTGCGTTTATTCCTCACTCAGTGCGATGTCAAGATCTTTCATCTCTGGTGAACCACTTTTTTTTTCGCAGCTTACCATTCTTCGACAACTCGTGGAATGGCAATTAACTCACTGTGTCGCCATTCGAGGAATAATTGATACCGCATGGGGTGTCAAGGCAGCTAAGCATACCAAAAAGACCGATAAGCAAGCCGTTGCGCCCCCTCCACCAGATAATCCCAATAGTTACGAAAATCTACGCATGATTCCAATCGGACAAGACTCGGCACGGAAACGATACTGGATTGTTGATGGTGCGTGGTCAACTCAAAAATATTATGTCTCCCGTGCTTCCGCCTGACTGCCGGGATGTGGATTGAACAGATTCGCCTCGTATATACATGTCGAAGAATCCTTGGAAATCCCTCTGCCCGTTCAAAGCTATTTCGAGCACCCGAGAGGAGTACATCGCTACCATCGAAACCCTCAAAGCCACTTCCCCGAAGGTTCCGGAGTCCGAAAATGGAGCCAAAGTCAAATTACGAAATAAATTTGAACAAGGTCATTTAGATCTTATCGCGTTCCTTGAGGCAAACCTGCCAAAGGTCGATGCTGAGCTCGCTGTGAGTGCATTCTCTTGGTCCCCTTGCATTTATCCTACCACCTGGCCCATGGAAACGCGCAAAATGCCTCGTTTCCCTGTTGGTGCCGCTCAATGATGAAAAATTTGGGGCTGTTGCTGTCATCACGTGTCTTCAGTGGCGGACTTAACGCCAGAAACTGGTTTCCATTGTTCCGACTTGGCTATTACTAATTTGGACTTCATTGACATAGCGGGTCGAGAAAGCCCGAAAACGCCTTGAGCAGAAGGCAATAGTGGCAGCACAATCTGAAATACGGGCGACTAGAACACGACGGCAAACTCGACGCCCCGACTACGTCTACGATTATGAGGAAGAAGAGGTTAGGGTATATGGATTCCGAGTCCTCTTCCACATTGATACCAACCCTCTTGACAGGAGGATGAGGAGTATGCGCACCCAGATGATAAAGATGACTTCATCGATGATGGGGACTCCGAGGATGACAACGATAACCCGTCGAGGACCCGCACATACCGTTCCTCCCGCCATTCGTTCTCCGTTGAGCCTCGCAGAAGCACGCGGGCAGCGACAGTAAATAGCCGCAAGCGCTCGACCGCGGATAATCCACTTTTGGACCCTGAGACAGGCGTTGAATGGCGTGGCGAACGGAGAAGTACACGGCTAGGCAATGCGCCAAAAATCGCATTCGATGAAGAGGATCAGGCGCTTTTGCCCCCACCTGCAAAGCGCGCCCGATCGTCAGCGCCGTCAGAAACTTCGCAGCCACCCGCTCCCAAGCCTGCCCCTATCGTTATCGCGGCCCCAGCAGGAAAAAAGAAGAGCAAGTTCTGGTACTATACTGTGGAAACAGCCAACGGCGGAGTCCCGCGTGATGCTGTGGAAACGGAGTCGAAAGCCTCCGAACTTGCCACAACCAACGAGACGGCAAGCACGAGGGGCGATTCAACATCTTCACTATCCTCTCTTTCATCTTCCTTGGGCTCGTCAACGGAACATGAGGCGACGAACCCTGTTATTGGGATCAATGGCCGCGAGGCACGATTAAATGGGAAAGCTGGCAACATCGATGACATCCAACCGGCAGCTCCGGCTGACAAACCTCCCACAAATACATGTGCTCCTCTAAAAGAGAACATCAACGGTCATGCGGACGCTGATCTCCACGAGACAGTTTGTATCCCCGCACCGAACCCGGAAAAAGGGATCCTGAACAACCCTGATGCTGGGAGTGACATGAGCTTCAGTGATGACGAGTGAAGGAATTTTTGCTTTTGTGTTACGACAAAACTGCCCATGCGCAACCCCCCCCCCTCCAATGCGGGCGCTTTACGACCTGATCAGTTGCATTGTAGTTACAATTTAGGATTTTTACCTTATTCTCCCCAGGCAAGCTTTTGGGGATTTTGGCGACACCTGTACTGTACATGATTTGTCGATTCGTTTAAGTTAGCATGATGTTCACGGAGGCGGTTTGGGGTGATCGAGCCGAAATGGGCTGTTGCCTAAAGTGGTAATTACTTTCAAACCAGGTGACTCAAGTGGCCTCCCACTCGTCAACGCGCTCTCTGTTGCGCTCCCTTCCGATATATTGAGGAAGGAAAGTTTCCACCCTTTTCATGCAGCCCCATGCGAGAGCTAAGGTGGAAGTGAAGCGTCGGAACTCCGATGAGGGGTCTTGACCTTGTCGAAATAGCGACCTCGAATACCTCATCTATGTCATACTTCACGTCACCAAGGAGGAAAATTGATGCTGAATGCTCCGCTTGATGACTGGTTTAGCTCGGATGTCCGCCAATTGCTACGTGTCATGAGAGGCTTTCTACAGATGTCGAGGGGGAGCGGAAGACTCAGAGTGGAGGAGATCCATTGCCATGCATGGCTTCGTCCCTTGTTTGTGACGATGGGGTTCTCGAGCCACCATCGTTCTCAACAGCAAGGTCAAAGTCATTCAAGACACCATAAACCTTCCCATTTATTTCTCGATACATAATGTTATCGAGACTTATGTCACAATGGAGAACCTTTCCAATGTCACACACCCAATGATGACCTGAGAGAGAGAAAAAAATAGTTTGGTTTGATGAGAAAGAACGAGCCCGTGACAACTTACATCTTAGG